CCGAATGGACTCAAGTGGAATAAACTAGGACAGACTCAGAAAGTGGTGAATAAGGCCTACAGTGCCAAGAATTCCTCTTTTTAATGCCCCAAGAACAAGGATTGGGTCCATAAACTGCAGCTAAGCTAATGGGAGGTCAACTGGTCCTATTTTCCTGATTAACTACCGGAACTGTTCCTATAAATGTCTATAAAGTAGACCACTCAGTTCTAAGATTTCCTCCCCCAAAGCCCGTTTTTCAGCTTTCTAGAAACTCGGGAGTCTCCATGCAGCTCCTGACCTTCCAGGAGCTGATTCTGACGCTGATTCTGACTCTGATTCCTCAGGGCATTAAGAGATAGCAAAGTTTTTCTAGTAGGTGAGACAGGCTGAAACCCACGCTTAAGGAACTCTGTTGTGTCCCCAGTAGAAAAAACAAACAAACAAATAAAAAACAACCTGGAGGTAGGACACCTATGAGGAAGCTGCTATATTTGTCCAGGTACAAGGTATCTGGAGCCTGATCTAAAGATGATAGCGGATGGAGGAATTAATACAAGGGAAACTTTACGACCTGAGACCTGATTACATATAGGGCTGAGAAAGCAGAGCATCACACAGATGACTATACATTCAGAGCCTCAACACAGGTACTTTCTCCAGATTCCAGAACCTAGGGTCAGGTGGACCCTCTTCTAGATCATAGTCATTGTCATCTTAGCCTCCGAGAAGGAAAGGGAGCTTGGTCCAGGGATTGGCCAGAGGCACTGGCTTGGTTCTTGGTTAGCTGCTGAAGATCCTAAGACAGAGACTTTCTATGGCCTCATTTTGTAGATTTCAGGTTCCTCTGGCAGTAGAGCCCTGGGGAGATGCCAGCATGTAAATAATAGAACAGTGTTAATTATTAACCTTTTATAATCAACCTTCTTGGCTGATTGAAAACTTGTGGTCATTTCTAGATGCAAAGCCACCTATGCCTACCCCAGACCGTGTCCTGCCTGTGGCCTTCCTTCTACTGTTTATGTTTGTGTGTGGGTTGGTCTTTCTAATACTAATGAAAAGGAAGAGGAAGCAGCCTGGCCCCTCTCGTGAATGTGGTGAGTCAGTGCTTGTCCCATCTGCAGAGCGCCACTGTGTAGCTACTTCCCTATCAGCTGCATTCTGGAGCTTGTTTGCCCAGCCCAGACTGGCAACAAAAACCAGCAGGTGGTTGGAGGGAGAGGTTTCCCCTCTGGACCCCACTTAGACTGGACTCAGCAGCTGATAACGTGGCTCTGGATTTCTAGGAAAAGGCAACATTTCTAATCTGAGGTTTACAAATATACTGCCGGCTTCCAGACAAAGCACATTATTCCTTGCTTTACCTACCTCACTTCATTAGATTACTGTGAGAATTCAACGAAGTAAAGGGTGAAAACATGGCTAAATGTTAGTAATTATGGACCTGGTAGGTTTCAAGTAGGGGTGGTGAGAAGGGTAGCATTAGATGACCGTAACATTTGCCTTCTCATCTCTAAAAGTCTAAGTTTCATGCTCCTGCTTTTCTTCAGACCATATATATCTTTTGCCTTTTAAAAGTCTAGGTTTCCTGAGAAGTTAGATGAATTGTTCCCCACAGACTTTTAAAAATAATATTAACTTCTGTTGATTACCAAGTATTACACATCCATTAACATATACTGAAAGTAAAAATCACTTATACTTCCACTAGTAAGAAAAAAATTATTATGCTGACAATACTTCAGTATGTATCTTCCAAATTTTTCTATGTATAAATCTGTTATTTTATGTAAGTGAAATATCATAAGGACTATTTTTTACAATTTGGATAATAGCACATATTTTTTTACTTTTGTGCAAAATGTAGAATGAAAATATTCAATATCATTAAATATTATTCTACAGCATCATTTTAAATGGCTGCAAGATATTATATTATGTGGATACACCTCAATTTATTTAATCAACTCCATATTATTGGACACTTGAATTGTTCCCACAGTTTTACTATTGTAAACAGAACTGCATTCATCAACCTCCCCACTTCTGTTGTAAAAGTGGCCTATGTTTAATGCGGGGCAAGGTGATTCCTGACTTTATAATAACCCCATGCCTATATGTGGTTTGGGCTGTTTTGGGTGATGCTGTAAGATAAGACTGAACTTTATCTCAGTAATTGCCTCCAGTGGAAGTTTAGTTGGTGTTAATAATTAAGATAATCTCCTTACTCACTTATGGTAAAAAGTACTAGATGAGTAATGCTTCTGGTCGGCATCTTATTTAAGATTTTAGTGTACCGATTTTAAGATCCATCTGGAAAATGGATAACATTATCACTCATTTATTTCACCTTGCTGTATTTAAAAACAAGATATTGGGGAGTGATTATCCAATTTCAATAAATTAACACAAAGCATATGGCAAAGCAATTCAAACTGCTAAATAGGGGGTGTGCTGAGAGATTTGTCTGATACAAAAGTGTAAACTTTGGAGCACAAGATCAGATGTATGGATGTACCATACTTGTCCAGGTTTGTCTTTTCAAGGTGAGCATTTTGAGCTTCTCCTTCTTTCAACCTCATCATCGTTAAAATTAGCTAAATGTGCAGAAGCAACCTTCAGCTTAGGAATAAGATGTCTCTTAAATTTGTTTTCACATTGAAATGATTAGATTACAAATAAAACAAAGAAAAAGGGTTGGAGAAAGGAGAGTAAGAATGTTTCTTTCTCCAAGAGGCAATTAGAAAAATTCAAGAGACTAGATAAGGGAGATAAAGAGAAGGATGTGTGTTTACACATGAGAGAAGTTGCAACGGAGTTTAAGAAGCTATATGTGTGCATGCGAGATGGTCAGATTGAGCTATGAGTGGTAAAAGGCAGAAGACAACTGAGAGCACAGCACATAGATGACCCCGCTGCAAGAATGTGATAAAGAATACTAGTAGGAAAAAATTGTTTGGTCAGACCATCACCTGTGCCAGTGAGTTTGGTCAAAGAAAAGAGTCTTGAGGAAGGGAGATGTGCCAAGAAATTATGAAATGTAGCTATGAGATGTTTGTAAATTTGGGTTCTATAACTTCAGCAATGTTTACACTTGCTTTGTGGATATCTCTGGCATTGGCTATATGATAAACAGAATAATGTTCCCAACAATGTGTCCACCTCCTATACCCCAGAAGCTATAATATGTTATATTACATGACAAAGGGGCTTTACATATGTGATTATCCAGGTGGGCCAAATCTAATCACATGAGTCAGAGAACTTTTCCCAGCTTGTTTAGAAGATGAGATAGAAGGAGAAGAGATCCAAAGCTTGAGACAGGCTCAAACTATCATTGTAGGCTTTGAAGATGGAGGAAGGGGCCACAAGCCAAGAAATGTGGGCAGCCTCTAGAAGCTAAGAATGGTCCTCAGCTGAGAGCAAGAAAATGGGGATCTCAGCCCCTACAACCACAGGAACTAAATTCTGCCAACAGACAGACATGGAAGCAGTCATGATCCATCCACAGAAACACAAGCTTACTGATAACAAGTAGGAACTTCTTCAAAAATGGAGCTTCCTCCTAATCCAATATTAATCCTTTCTTCAGGGTCCTCAGACTAACTAACTTAGAGTCAAAAGTATTTCCCAGTGTTTGTTCAGTAATTACAGTGGTTTTTTTTTTTTTTTTTTTTTTTTTTTTTTTTTTTTTTTACACACTTTGCTTCAACCACACATTTTAAGCTGCTAATAAAAGGGAAATACCATGGTTATTCTAGTTAGTTTCTAATCTCTCTTCTCTTTTATTTATTTATTTATTTATTTCAAAATAAGGCAAATAAGGCATGAGAAATTGTAACCTTAAATTACTGTCATTTCCCATTCAGAAGCTACTTTATTAGCTTACTCACTGGGGAGAAAGACTAAAATAGCTCCTCCTGAAGCTTTACTTCCTCATTTGGGTCTGTGTGACTGAAACCCGTATGTAACAGTGTCCTAGCAACCAACAGTTTTTATAACTTGCCTCCCTCCACCAAATCTGAAAGAGTCTCAGCTCTTTCAGGAATGATTTCTTAAAGGGCAAATGTCTTTTCCAAAATAAACCGTTTTTATCACCATTTAAGCAGAAACCTTCACAGGGCTTAAAAACTAAAAGTTGGTGGTATCATCACATCTGCCCTTCAAAATACTTGTAATCAGCACATTATTTTTAAGACCTTTCATAAAAATACAACCTAACCAGATTTTTTGTGTCTGGAAGCTCAGTCAAATAAGAAATAGCTCAGATAACCAAGGAAGCTTAGCCAGAAAAAAAAGCCTTGAGGAGGACACTGCCTTCAAATACCTGAAGAGCTGCTATAAGATACAAAGATCATATTTAACTGCGGCTCTAAAGGGCATCTCAATGGGTGAAGGTTATAAGAAGGTATAGGAAATAAGAGACT